CCGTCACAGAGACTCGCACAGGACATCACCTTTGCATTTTGTGGGTCCTCAGTCCCATAGGGATACGCTGGACTTGCTGAGAACGCTCCTTGTCTGGGCTGCTCAGGAATTTCAGCAAAAGCTCCTGGATTACAGCTGGGCTTGGAGGCTAGCCCCTGCCCCCACGGGGCGAGTCAGAGAATGCACAGAGTGCTGCACTCTGGGTGTGCTCAGAAACACCGTGCTGCATTTGGGGTCTGGGTGGCAGCAACTGCACAATGGCTCCTGCATTTCAGCACTAGGTCGCCTAAACTCATTGGAGCTTAATCTCAGGCAGGGTTCACCTTGTCTGCAGCACAAGTACCTGGGTCGGCACTGGTCGCCCAAGCCTGTTACGGTACATGGCAGTTCGGTTCCTCTGACGTGCCTTGGAGTTCTGCTTCAGGATGAAATGAACCACATCTTCCGTGCCCAGCTGTCATCCCAGTCTGAAATCCGTAACGTACCAGCTCCATCACCTGTAAGCCTGGCAACACCTGGGGGTGACCGATACCAACATCTGTTCGCAGAAGATTCCAGAGCTGGAGGCTGTGGTTTAGGGTTGGTGGGGGTTTTGCCTTTTGGTTTGGGGTTTTTTTTTCGGTCATTTGTGCCTTAGACATCTGAGCTGCTCTCATCACCGTCACCACCTAAGGCCCTGCCAAGAATAATAAGCTTGGTATTCTGCTGATAGATTTGTGCAGCACTGAGATCTGACATACGATAGCCTTTATAAGCAAGCTCTGTGTGAAAAAAAAAAAAAAAAAAAAAAAGAAAAGGAGCAAAATTTGTCTTTGTCTTCAGCAGGGCACTTACCCATATTCAGTCTCCTAATGATTTGGCTGCACATCCCTGTGCACCAGAAGAGCCTTAGCCAGACTTTGAGGCCCAGGGGCTATTTAATTATTTTCTGTGCAAACCAAAGCAACCCCTGAGTAGTTTATGTCTGAATAGTCTCCTTTGCTTACGGGGAGGACTTCGGGCAAGGTAAGCTGTGTCAGAACACATGGCAAACCTGTTAAGGAGCACTGAGACTGAGGGTTTAGAACCTGTGTGTGCAAGATGGTGAACCTTCCTCAGCTGCAGTTCACGTCAGTGGGGATTTGCAGCATGGTACATGCTTTAACCCGAGTACAATGGAGACCGTGAATCTTCCATTGACAAAATGGCTCCCTGGTCTGCATAAAAAACTGAGAAGCTTCAAACATTTTACATTTTATTTGAACACTGATAATAGTTTTTAAATTCAGAACCAGTGGAACAAGAATGTGTGTTTGAAAGGAAGGTGGGTTTTCTAGTGCAATACAGTACAGGCCCCAGCCTTTATTGATTAGTAATTGACAATACGATTAGAATTGATTACTTAATCTCAGAAGCTACAAAATCATGGTTCAATACCATATACTTTTTTAGCATAAACCTGTATATATATTCTTCTCTCAGATATACAGTGCAAAACTAAATTTCTTGGGGTGCTCAGCACCCCTGAAAGAGATCAAACTTACAAAGAAAGGTCCCTTGAGTTAACAGACTGCTTAAATGAAAGTAGATCAAAATGTATCCTCCACAAAACACTTGTTTTAGTTTAAAAAAAACTCTTGCAAAATATCAGCAAATGTCAATAATCAAATAACCGGTACAGATCTTTTACAGAAAAACATAAATCAACATAAGACTTGTGTTCAAACTTGTCTTTCAAATATGGAGAGCTTGCCAGCTTGTTCAGAGGGTGTGGCAGTCATACTTCGGTTCTTGGGTTGCTAAATTCTCCTACAGCACCATAAAAACAAGCCTCAAAATCATCAAAAGGCTGGGGAAAAAAAAGAAAAAAACCCATAAATATGGTTGTGCATGAATAAAACCAGTGAAAGCCGTCATGAAATAACACGCATTCATAAATACCTGACACTAGAGCCTCTAGTGAGCAATCTTTTAAAATGTCTAAATCTACAGCCCGAGTGTCTGTTGAAACACAGGCCACTTAGGCTTGAAAAGCGATCCACAGTGGAAAAGTACATTTTCCAGTTTAAGTTCTGATGCTTAAATTTTGCATCTTGACAATTTGCGTCTTGGATTTTTTCCTCCCTGTATGTAACTGAAGTAAAACAGTTAATGGTGTTGTATTAAACCTGGTAACAACAAAGGAACAGTTATTCCTTCAGAAGATAGAGATTCTGACTCAAGAGTTGAGAAATGTTTTGAGTTACAGACTCACTGGGAAAAAAAAAGTTTATACTTACTTCATAATTTAATTCCAAAATAATAAGTACAGGAAATTATGTTTTCCAGGATGCCAAAATAAACAGCAGCAATAAAGCACTCAGAATGGTTAGAAATATCACAATTTGCAGTAACACTGACCAAAGTTCTTAAGTCTGGTCAAAAATGTCCTAGTTTTCAAAGGTGCTGTGCTTCCAGTAGTTCTGAGTGCAGCACTTCTAAACCAAAGTGTTGGTCTTTTTGCAGATCGCTGTGTCCTATGAAATCAGATGACTAGTTTTATGCACATGTGTTTGAAAACACTGAGGCTTACCTCAGGTTCTTCCAAGAGCCTTATCAATACGAATTAATATTTAATTGCAGATCTCTCCTTTCTGTGCTGAGAAAGCCAGTCCATATCAGATGTATCCGCCTAGTGAGATGAAAAAGCTGTTCACTGGAAACAGGACTGTGACCTCCAAACTAATTTCACTTAAACCATAGAGCTGCTGGATGATAGTAACATCCACTGATACTGGCTTGAACAGCTGTCAAATGGCAACTATTTGAAAACCAGTGAAATCTTTACATTAAGATCCTCAATATATGTTTACCTCAGGCATGCTACCAGTCCGGCTGGCATTAATTTCTTGGACCTCTTGAACCTCATTCCCATTATAATGGTCAAAAGAAAAGCTGAAACTGTAAAAGACAATTCAATACATTTATGTTCTTGCTTCTCCCCGTGGACCAGTCAGGAACATGGAGAGTTATCAAAGGTCATTGCTATGTTTTGCTATGAACTGTAATTTAATAAAACATTGGATCAGAGATAGGGTCTATAAAAACATTCTTGCTTTTCCAAAACACACTCTGATTTCTTTCAGCTACAAATAAGGTTTCCACGTGCAGCAGAATGCTAAATCCTGTTCCACAGGTACTAAGTTTGTCAGGTAGTGAATTCTACTCCCCCATATCTACATTCATGGGGATACAAATAAAGTAGGAAGCATCTTCATCACAACAGTAACATGCATGCTGAATTACAGAATAGTGTCTCAAATCCCACCACCCTAGTTCACTGCAGCTGTTCTCTACCTATTCAAGGAGCTAGAGCATCCAACTTGATCTATTTTCTTTTTAGAATGCTAGCTCTTTATTTGCTGAGCCTCAAAAACTAGATTGGAAGGTCTGAAACCTGTTTTTCATACAGACTGTGGCCATTAACATCTTCTTCATCATGACCACAAGTCCCCTTGTTTCCTTTTGCTATGAGGGAACCACCCTTGTCTGTGACAAGAGGAGGGCAGCCCAAGAGAGCAACAAATGCAGAGAATGAATGTCAGGAAAGCAAATGCATCTTCTTCCTGGGGCAGTTTTACCCAAAAATGGAGGTAGCGATGAACTGATTGGGGATTTCATACTGAACTATGGCTGCAGAGCGCTACGTAAATGAGAAGACCGATGAGAGTACATCAACTCCGCAAAGATGGCTCGCTCCGTTACAGAACTGTCACCTGAAATGCTTCCTACAAGCGGGCAGAGGCACGACTTCTCATGGGCAGCTGGGCTTTATCACTCTTGCAGCCAAAGCAATGGTAGTTACACAAATCCCTTCCCTTTTTTACGGAGCAGTTAAACCACCTGGCTAATTCTCTTCAAACTCCACTGTCTACTCCTGTGGACAGTCCTGTGCTCACAGGCGTCGGGAATTAGTTTTGAGCTCACCCCAGCATTATAAAACAAGCTCTGACGGTTATAAGCATCTTACAAAATTCAACCAGCTAAGCATGTGCATCATTACAGATACCCTGCAAAAAGACTATTATGCTCCATTATCCATTGCTCTTATT